CTATAAGCGAGACCATCTACGGTTATTCGCAGCAGAAAAAACCACTACTACTCGAGGTGATCTGCAATGGGCGACGCCTCCAGGCAATGGTGGACAGTGGTGCGTCCCTCTCGGTGTGCGACCGCGGGACGTTGGAGAAAATTGGAGAATTTTCAGAGGAGACCAAGTTCTCGGCAACGATGGTGGACGGTACGAAACTTCCAATCCACGGCGAAGCATCGCTGCAGCTACACATAGGGGCGCTGAGGTGGAAGCCGACGTTGCCGATCACAAACATCAAGGGTTTAGATTTCATCTTGGGGCGAGATTTCTTGAAGCGGTTCAACCCCGAGATCGGCTGGGTCAGCAGGAAGGTATGCATCTACAATAACGGGAAACGAGTGGAGATGCGAAGCTGGACGGATACAGGGAGCGTTCCTGAAATGACACTGGCACGGTTCGAACAGACGGTGAACAAGACTAACACGAGTTACTTAGCACTGGTTATGGCAGCAGCAGAGGAGAAGCCGAGTTCGGAGCTACCTGCAGCAGTAAAGGAGGTGTTGGAGCAGTACAAGGATAAAATGCCTGACGACCTACTCGCAGGCGTACCTCCAGCACGCACCCACGAGCACGAGATTGTGGAGGAACCAGGTGCGAAACCCGTCTCACGTGCACCATATCGACTGAGTCCGACCGAACTGACACACATGAAGAAACAGATAGAGTATCTACTGGACAGACAACTGATCCGCCCATCCACCTCTCCCTACGGTGCACCAGTCCTCTTCACTCCAAAACCAGACGGCAGTTTACAGATGTGCATCGACTACCGCGCACTGAACAAACAGACAGTTAAAAACAAATACCCCATACCGCGCATAGACGACCTAATGGATCAACTGCGTGGAGCAACAGTATTTTCGAAGCTGGACCTACGATCGGGTTATTGGCAGATCAAGATGACAGACAACTCGGTCCACAAGGTGTTCAAGATCCTGCGGAAAAAACAAGTTCTACGTGAAGCCGTCGAAGAGCGACTTCGCCCTGAAGAAGGTGCAGTTTCTCGGGCACATGGTGAGTGCCGAGGGCGTACACGTGGACCCGCGGAAGATCGAAGCCGTCAAGAAGTGGAAAGTACCGGAGAACGTGAAGGAGTTGCAGTAGTTCCTAGGCTTCACCAACTACTACAACAGGTTCGTGCCGCAGTACGCAAAGATAACAGCACCACTGAGCGACCTACTGAAAAAGGATACGCCCTACAAATGGGATACCCCTCATCAGCAAGCCATGGAGCAGCTACAGACAGCACTGACTACAGCGCCAGTACTCATCTTGCTGGATCCAGACAAGGACTACGTGGTGGAAGCAGACGCTAGTGACCAAGCAGTCGGAGCAGTACTGATGCAGAATCACGGACGCGGTTTGCAGCCCATCGCCTACCTCAGTAAGAAGCTACACAGAGCAGAACTGAACCACCCCATCCATGACAAGGAAGCCTTAGCGATAGTCATAGCCTTCAAGGCGTGGAGGTGTTACCTAGAGGGAGCCAAGACTACAGTCTATACTGACCACTGCAGTCTCAAATACCTGAAGTCGCAGCCGACGCTCTCACGACGACGGGTGCGGTGGGTGGACTTCCTGGAAACTCACTTCCACTATGACATCGTCTACAAGCCCAAGCTACACAACAAGGCAGACGCGTTGAGCCGCCCCGGACGTGTAGCAGGCATCCAGCTCGACGGGATGAACCCTCTGCTCAAGGGTCTATTCCAACATGGGTTCTCCGTGGACGCAGAAATCGCTACAGCACAGACCAAGAAGTTGTTACAGTGGGAGAAAGACTTAGCTGTCAGGAAGGGTTCAAGAAAGATTTGGGTACCGAATTACGCCCCGCTATGGCAGATCCTATTGGAGGAGTTTCACGACGTACCATACGCGGGACATTTCGGGAGCAACAAGACGTGCAGCAGTTCGTCACCTCTTGCGACACGTACCAGCAGATGCAGAGCAGCAAACAGAAAAAAGCAGGATTACTTCAGCCTCTACCCGTACCGGAGCAGCCATGGCAGGTCATTAGTCTCGACTTCATCACAGGACTTCCCTCGACCTCACGGGGACATGACTCCATCCTCGTAGTCATCGATAAGTTCTCCAAAATGGGACACTTCATACCGGCCAACGCCACCGCCACAGCTGAAGCAACTGCTCGCCTCTTCTTCGACCGCATCATCACCATCCACGGCATCCCCGCTACACTCATCTCAGACAGAGACCCAAAATTCACCAGTAAGTTCTGGAAGGAGCTCATGGGACTGTTGGGGACAAAGCTTGCAATGTCTTCAGCATACCACCCCCAGACTGACGGACAGACAGAGCGACTCAATCAAGTGGTTGAACAGTTACTACGCATAGCTTGCAAAGACGACGTCAGCCTCTGGGACACACAGTTACCGGCCCTAGAGTTCGCTTACAACAACGCATCACATGCGGCCACAGGGAAAACTCCTTTCTTCCTGTGTTACGGACGGGAACCACTCACACCACAGCAGCCAACCACACCAGCACACGTCCAAGCCGCACATGACTTCGTCACCACCATGCAACAACTATGGGAGCAGACTCAACGACGTCTCACCACGATGCAAAACTCCCAGAAGCAGTATGCCGATCGTCAGCGACGAGATCACTCAGTAGCAGTCGGAGATCAGATGCTTCTTGACACACACAGCTTGAACCTGTCTCACCTACCATCCAAGCTCCGGCCTCGCTTCTGTGGTCCTTTTCTCGTTGAGGCACAGGTGACACCAGTTACATTCCGCTTGCGCTTACCAGATACATGGAAGCTTCACAATGCTTTCCATGTCCAGCTACTGAAGCCCTACAAGGATCCCAACCAACAGTTCCAAGGACGGCAGCTATCGCCACCTCCACCTGTTCTTGTGCAGGATGAACCCGAGTACAAATTGAGCGCGTTCTCTCTCATCGGCGCCGCGGCGGCAAGACCCTCGAGTTCCTGATACGCTGGAAGGGATACGACCCCATTGAGGACAGTTGGGTTGCAGAAGCTGATATGGGCAACGCACGCCGTGCTCTCAAGGACTATCTTGTCAAGCACGGTGTATCTCACGCCACCCAGCTTTGAAGCAGTGGAAGTTTGCCTCAAGCACATGGGTTGCTGAAGTGCCAGATGGGTTGTGTTGCAGCAGATGGGTATAGCAGGGGTGGCGAGGCTGGAGGCTTATGTGATGGAGGCTGAGCCGCTGGCTGCTGAGCTGCAGAGGAAGTTCGCCTCGAGCACCTTAGTGGCTGAAGTGCCAGGTGGGATTTGCTGCTCCAGGTGGGAGGGCTGGCAGATACGGTGGTGGCTAGCAGGGGTAACAGGTGGCAGGGCTTTGTTGGTCTGCCAGGCGGTTCAGGTGTGTAAGGTGGGCTTTCGTTGCATTGCAACAGATGGGTGGGTTCGGCTGCAGCAGGTGTATGCTTCCCTGCTCTCCCGCTCTTCTCTCACCATCCATGCACCCATGTACTCGTCCATGCTCCCATGTACTCGTCCATGCTCCCATCTACTCGTCCATGCACCCATGTACTCGTCCATGCACCCATGTACTCGTCCATGCACCCATGCACGCATCACCCATCCATGCACCCATACACGCATCACCCATCCATGCACCCATGCACGCATCACCCATCCATGCACCCATGCATGCATCACCCATCCATGCACCCATGCACGCATCACCCATCCATGCACCCATGCACGCATCCATGCACCCATGCACCCATCCATGCACCCATGCACGCATCACCCATCCATGCACCCATGCACGCATCCATGCACCCGTTCATGCTTCCATACAGGCAAGAAGGGGCAGCACGAGGTGCTGATTCAGGGAGGCGTGTTGGATGAACTGGCTCGGCTGCTAGTAGACGTGCATGGCATTCCCAAGTCCCATATAGAGGTACTCGATAAGACAAGGAGGTGATACATGATACACCTTCTACCGTATGTGGATAAGGCAAGGAGATAACCTATGTGGATATTTTAGGCGTTTTTCGTAATGTGGCATTGATACAGCCCTATTGGGGAAGGACAGGAAGGAAAGAAGGGGTAACCAGTGGAAGGAGGTTACCGGTAGTTGTTAGCAGTTTGGGTAGATTCAAGAGGATGATGAGGATGATGAAAAATGAGGGATGGAGAGCAGCAAGATGAATTTTGAATGGACACAAAAGTCACCTCGGATGATGGAGATTGAGGGATGGGAGCAGCAAGATTGCGGGGAGGAGGAAAGATGGGTGAACGGAGGGGAATGTAGTAGAGAGGAGAACACTCCCAGTAGATAGGGGGGTAAGGGCATTGTACAAGGAAAAGTGAATCTCTAATACATATTCAGCACTATATCATGATATCTCCCAGAAGACATTTCAATTACCGTAGGTGCAGCTAGTAGTGCGAGTTTGTCCTCAGGATTGCACCTAGCCCCACTAGAGCGGATATTGGTAGAAAGGGTGGTGAGTTGAGTAGACAGCTTGGAATTTGATATTCCAATATTGCATGTATGGCCACTATTACAAGTAAAGTGACACAACATTATTTCCTTACTTGGACCTCATGATAAACACCCCCAGACTCCAATCAATCCTCACTATCCCCTCCCTAGGAAAAGCCCAATTCTACCCTTCTCCCATAGAAAAGCCCAGACCACTCAATCCTGCCAACGTATCCACGCGACGCACAGGCGAACAGTGCAACCTACCCAAGAGGAAGAAAGAAAAACAAACGCAGCAGCCGAACGCGCAAAGAAGCATAACAAGAGGTTATGCCCCCCTCGCATTCACAGCTTCAACCTCGAGTCTTCAAAAAGAAATTCCCGCGAATCCAGGAGGTTCCTGCAAGTCCTTCTTGTGAGGTTGTTCGTCGTGGCTCATCGCACCCTCGGGAAACTCGCCGCGAGTTAATTACCACCACGGGAATCCGTCAGGCGTGCAATCACGGGGATCGTTTCAAAAAGCGTCATCTAGTCGTCGTGGTGGTCGTCGTCGTCGTGGTCGTGATGATCGTCGTCGTCGTGGTCATGGTCGTGGTGGTGCTCCTTCTTCTTCTCCTTCTTGGGCTTCTCCTCCTTCGGCTTGGGCTTGCACGACTCGGCGCACTTCTCGTACTTCTCCTCGCACATCGGCGCCTTGTACCACTTGAGGCACTGGCGGCGGCGGTACAGGCACCAGTCCTTGCACCCCCACTTGCCATACTTGCAGTTCTTGAACGACTTGTACGCCTTGCGCTCGCACACCGTCGACTGCGCCTCGCAGACCTCCTTCTCGTCCGCATTCGCCGCCTTCGCCTCGCACTTCTCCTCCTTCTCCTCGCACTTGGCGTATTTGATCTTGTACTTCTCAATGCACGTCAGCTTCTTCTTGGGTTTCTTCTCCTTCTTCTCGTGGTGGTGATGGTGGTCGTCGTCGTCATCATCATCGTCGTCGTCGTCGTCGTCGTCGTGGTCGTGGTGATCGTCGTCATCATCGTCGTCGTCGTGATCGCCGCCCAGGAAGCGCCTGGTGGCGAGAGCAGACGCGGATCCTGAAATAAAACGCGTGGCGAGAGTCAGAATTTGCACATTTTGGAATAGAAACAAACGAGCAAACAACAAACGAACCAAAAATGAATAGCAAACGCTTTGACGTAAGTCACAGCAGCGGAATGACGGTACCCACCTGAAGTGGCGACGGCGCTGGACTCCGCATAAGCGGAGGGCGCAAGCAGGGCGACCAAAATCGCGGAAAGCGCGATCAGAAGAGCGAGGAGCTTCATAGAAGCCATAGTGAAGGACGAAGGGGTGGGGAGTGAATGAAACCTCGAAACGACGCTTGGAAGTGAATGAATGAACTGGATCTCCAGCCCCAATTTATTCTCGATTTTTTTGCCCCCAGATGTTCCTCCCTCATCAAACCTCAGGCGAAGCGCCGACGTTCTGGTCTGGTCTGGTCGACGAGGGACGCGTCTCGGCTGAATATCAGCGCCGATTTTATGGGCAGTCGAGAAGAATGGTCCATGAAATGTGAGAAGTGTACACCTGCTTCAAAATTGCTGATCTTTAAATCCGTGCCTTTCCACCATATTATATTTAGCGTGAAGTCGATGTTGTGCCTACTATCATAGTCGATGCTATGTCCGAAAGCTACTGACTGAAACGGGCTGGCTCAGAAAAATGAACCATTACTTGAAGGCGTCACGGGAGGGCGGCGTCGCTAGCGACTCGGATTGTTGACGCGGTATCAATGCTGCCCCTTAACTGTGAGAGAAAGCCGAAAGCCATCCGATGAACTCCAGTCGACGTCTGAGATGAATTCACTATCTACCATCTAGCTGCCCGAAAAGGTGAGTACGTGGCATGCATTTCGCCTCGTTTCTCATCCTCACCAAACGACCTCCATATAGGATTATGGGAATATATGCTTGCCTAGTGAAGCTTCTAGAACTACGAGATGCTTAGCTAAGGGCGGGTGCCCTGAAGAACAAAACTGCCTTACTCTACATGACAGCAGAAGGCCTTTATTGAAAGCGTGAAGAAATTCTTACTAGAATCCTGGAATCAAGACATACACATGCATTGCAACCTAGTCCTTTTGCATTTGCACCTAGTCCTTCTGCATTCGCAGCCCAGTGATAAAAACATTCAAACCACAGTAAACATAGTTAACTGGTTAAACCAGGGAGTGCATCATCATGTTTAGTCGAGGTGGCAAAAATGAGGATGAACACTGAATTTTAGTGGCCAGCCCAAGCACAAAGGAGGACGCTAGACTGCTCCATCCCCTGCCACCTTTTTCCAACCTAGTACTAGCCACATGGTGTCCCTGCTATGGAGACTGCAAGCAAGCAACTACAGGTAACACGTAAGTTGTTGCAGCTAGCTATATTAGTCACCATGTTTCCTGGATTGGTTGCCTTACCATACTGATCTACCTTGCAGGAACGAATTCAGCATATTTGAATGTTGAGAGGGTGTGGTTGGAAGACAAGGACACGAGGAGCCGCAGAGTGCCATACAGAGCTGACAAACATGGACCAAGGCAAAAGGACCAACAGAAAGAACGAGCATCTTAGAAAATGGGGCCAAGCGCATGAAATTCGGACTTTGAAAAGGGTTGAAAGAATGAGGTGATTCGGTAGAGGGGTTGTTGGAAGACAGGGAGTGGAGGAAGGGGAACAACGAGTGGTGGGGGGAATGGGTGAAGCTGAAATGAAAGGGTTACTAAGAAATAAAGACTTGGAGAACCAGACAGTGGTGGGAGGGAAGCGGGGGAGCGGGGCGGGAGCTAAGGGAGATGGAGTGGGGGTAGGGAGATTGGTAAGTAAATCACATAAAGGGGGAGGGCAAGTGATTGATTAAGTATATGATTCGCACGCCTCTCAAGTACAGCACGTTGTTGCATCTCTTTTGAGACGTCTCCAACAATGTACCTGCGTTTTTTGTGCCTGTAAACCGTCAATATTCTTACTGGCTGTCAGCCTTCCTCCTCCTCCTGCGCTTCTGTGATCTCGTCGTCCTCTGGCACGCCTCTCATGTACAGCACGTTGTTGCATCTGCGTGACCGTGAGGTGGTTGGTTCACATGACAACATGCAGACGGAACGCAGACGGATTCAGCACAGCACACGGAACATTCTTGTGTAAAACACACTCAACCAAACCATTCCAGCACGCGGAACGAGGGGACGGAGGGGAAGGACGGAGGGAAAGGCAATCAGCACATCCACTCACAAGGTAACATTCGCACCGCAGACACAAATCAGTGGAAGGGCGGGATGAAATGGGACGGGGGGGAAAGGAACAATCAGCTGGATTGTGAGATGTGCGGACTGCATGAGAAGACAAGGAAGCAGGCGAGGGGAAGATAGAGAACGACACTGAAGCGGGCTGGCGGCTCGCCTTCACTGGCGGTTCGCCTTGACGACAGCAAGGAAGGAAGTAAGTCAGTGCCAAGGAGCATGCGAGGCACGGAGCATCATGCGAAGGAGCACGCGAGGCACGGAGCATCATGCGAAGGAGCATGCGAGGTGCGGAGCATCATGCGAAGGAGCATGCAAGGCACGAAGCATCATGCGAAGCAGCATGCAAGGCACGGAGCATCATGCGAAGGGAAGGAGCATGCAAGGCACGGAGCATCATGCGAAGGGAAGGAGCATGCGAGGCACGGAAGAGCGCACCTGATGAGCACTTCACCAAGGCTTCCCATGAACTGACCGTCGATGTACTCTTCCGTGCTCGCTAGCTGCACACACCGTCAGCGCAACACACGGAACGATCACAGATGAGATTCATGAAAATTTGCGATGACCTGATGGGATCTGATAAAACCGTACTGTTTTTGTTACGAAAGGCAAAGCTTCATATAGTTATGGTTTACCTGGAGGTTCATATAGGCGTCGACAGACATGAGATAGCCTGCGAGGGTCAAACAACGCGATTAGGTCAACGGATAGAAACAGGTAGTGCGAAGGACGCAAGAAACGTTTTGTTTATTTGCTTCTTCACTCACCTTTGTACTCCATGCCCCATTTCAATTTTACGATGACTTGCTTCCCCGTGAGATCGTTTAGGAACGGCTTAGGGTTTACTGGAACGGTCTGCGGAAACGCGAACGAAAGAGAAGAGAATAAGCATCAGGAAGCAGACTTTGAGCGTTTCCCATTTCTAAACAAGACAACGAAAAGCGAACTTACCGCCATGTTCTCACTGTGATGACCTGGCGTAGGTACTGTAATCGACGGCAACTAGTATAACGAAAGTCGGATCAGGACGCAAGAGCTACGAATCTTGGCAACTGATCAGCGAAGAGCAGATTATCCTCGTTACTGCGTGTTCCGGCGTTGCACACCTACGATATTTTCTAGTTTGTTGCGGTGCGTGCACAGAAGGGGTTTGTGCGGTCTGGAGCGGTGCTTCCTCACTACCGAGAAAAACGACTTCGCAATTTAGTGTATTCGAGATTCCTGCTTCTGCAGCTACCGCAGCAGACCGAACCGAATGTCACTTGCGTTCGTCTCCGACGTGGCAGCTTGTGAGTAGACATCTGTGCTTCAATGACGCCCCTTCCCCTGACTCTGCAAGTTCCAGAACCACCTTGAGACACAATCGGACAGAACGAGAAATATCTCCTTTCTACTCTGTGGCCGAACGAGTTCATTGTCGAGTTGTCCAGGATTCAGGAGTTGCAACATCCATGCTTATTACAGTATGCTCTAATCACCTATCCTGCATTATTATTTTGAGGCTCCGAACGTTTTCTCGAAGTTCTTGGTCACGAGGTCTTTTCTTGCGACTAATCGGTCTGCGAGACGAATAAATTTCGCCAACGCCACCTTTATCTTCTGATAAGCAGTCACTGACCCCCACCGTCCGAAGTGCAGCTTCGCTCTAGATTCCTTGATCAGCCCTCCTGATTTTATTGTGTTTTCCGAGGGTTCGGATCGGTCTCCAACATCTGAGCTTCTCGTTCTTCTCTCATCAAGACCACCATGGGGTACGGGAATTGTGGCTGCTGCCTCGTGACTCTTACCACAGATCGATAGATTTAAATTGGTTTAGCTGGTTTTTTTTGTGCTTATCGATATGATTATTTGGGTTTATCATACAGTACTTTACGGTAATCCGCACTGACGATAACCTGCGTCTGGTCTGTGCAGTCGCCATCCAGAGGTGGTCTGGGCTCAACGGTCAGACAACGTTATTATCACAGTCGAGCTCCCTGATGCTAAAGACATTAAGACGAATCTAGATCCAGAGGGGAAGCTATCATACTCAGCTAAAGCAGGAGCCGACGATCAAGACTTCGCCGTCGATCTTGAGCTGTTTGATAAAATTAATGTCGAGGTGCGTGGTTCGGCCAACATAGATCAGATTCCTTCAGTTGTGAACGCTCAATTGCATTCACAGGCTTCACATCTTACTCTTGGAAGGTACTCCGTTTGGCCATTGGTCCAGTATTGACGATTGGATACGTTATATCTTCATTGACGCAACTTCTCGTTTTCTATGCTGACGATCTGTTTTCAGGAGAGCAAAGTGGTGAGCACCTTGCGGCACACAATATTCATGGTGGTGAAGGCGGAGGCCAAGTGGTGGCCTCGGCTGATCAAGGCGGCGGGACGAGCTCCGCCGTTCCTCAAGGTTGACTGGAACAAGTGGGTCGATGAAGACGAGGAGTCAAGTGCTAACCAATGTGAGTACAAGTGGGATAATGTTCAATCGTGAACAGGTTAAACAAGGGAGAGAACAAGATGAAAGTTCAAACGGAAGCGAATTTCATTGTGTGTTTGTCACAATTGCAAAACATCAACGTTTACGTGGCCATCGTTGCTGAAGCGTATGGCGTGGATGGCTCCACGCTACTGTTGTCCTTCACATGCTCTGTCGCTGAATGGCACGTTTTTTAACGATTTTTTAGTATGAAGGTGTCATATGGCTCCCCATCAAGCAGGAATATAGCCATGTTTTTCCCGATCAAACAGGATATGCTATATCGCTCCCCTCTTAACATGCATGTCTTTCCTCCCATCTAAACCTTTCAATTTCCTCCCTCTCTTTGTCACTCTTGTTTTTTTTGGCAGTGGACCCTGACTTCATGAAACAATTCCAGGTGAGGTCATATGAAAAGCAAGACACATGATCGATCGTACTGCCACAGGTGTTGACAACTTGTTTTTTTCCATAAATGCTGGGTCCATGATCGATGCAAGTGTGGATCTGCCATGGTTCGTACATGCGTCACACTCTTCCTTGCAAATATATTGATGCATCGCGTTTTTCTTTGAGCTGCAGGGTGCTGGTGGCTTCGGTGGTGCGGGTGGCTTTGGTGGTGGTTTTGGAGGTGGTGATTTTGGAGGTGCTGACTTTGGTGGTGCTGATTTCGGAGGTGCTGGGCTTGGTGGTGATGAGGATGAGGACGAGGAGGATGAAGGTAAGTGACTTTTTTCCCCTTTCCTTTCTTCTTGCTTCTTATTTGACCTACATTTTGAACTCCTGCTCTTGCTCCTTCTCCCGCCCCCGTTCTGAGCCTCTTTGGTCTTGTCTCCCCTCACGCCCCTTTTTCCCTCTTTTCCCCACCCCTCCTGGCCTCATCAATCGATTCCTCCCCATCGCATTCCCACCACATGCTCCAACACTGCTACTTTTTTTCCCTTGTACTTGCAGAGTTGGGAGACCTTGAGAAGTGATCTCACAACAAACAACTTCAGTCATCATGGACTGAACACCCATCTTAATACCATATGAGGCTTTATGACACAGAGCCTGGAGCGGTTGGGTTTCGAGCCTGGAAATGTATTAAGTTGCTAGATTGGGCAACGGAGGTGTACGATTATGGCACAAACCAGCACACATTGTGACCTGCAATTGTGACTCTGGTCGGATGCTGTCTTGCTCCAATTTCACTACTAAGAAGCATAAGAGAGGGCACCAGTCCTGACTCATTGTAACCTGGGATTGTAGATGACTCTGGAACAATGATTCCTGGAGGAGAAGCGACAAGTGGCCTAGACTTGCCAGAAAGATTTAAGGAGGTCGTGAAACAAAGGTGATGTAGCTCAGATTGTAGACCGCTTGCTTGGCTCAATTCTCCACGTGGGATAACTCAGTTGGGAGGGCGTCAGACTGCAGATCTAAAATTTGCGTATTCTATCCGCGCTCACCGCACATTTTATGTGTTGACGGATGCAGGGAGCTAAGCTAAGGGATGAATGAATTTTGGTTTGGTACGCTCTGCAGATATGATGATAGGGGTCTCTCCATTTTATTACATCCAGGCTACGATAAGAGATGCACTTGCCCTAGAGCTCAGAGTGCTTCAAATCTTGGAACAAGAACTGAATGGGGAGGGGGAGGGGGGGGGGCAACCTGTTAGCGAAAAACATGAGCTTTGCAAAGCTTCTATTATGCTAAGAAAACAGTGCTTCAAAACCATGTCTTTGAGTGGCCTCAATAATATAATAAGTGTGTCTCTTTTGCGAAACTCTGATTGCACACATCGGACTACTTACTCGCTCCCCACTCCATTTTCTTCTCGTTTTTTGCCCCTAAACACTTCCCCTCCCCCCCATCCATCATCTCTGAATTGCCTTCTTCGTCCCTTTCTCCCCCTTCTTCCCCTTCCCCTTTTCTCCCTTCCCCTTCTCACCCTCCCCCCTCCCTTTTTTCTCCCCCTTTCCCTCCTCTCCTCCCCCTATCAACCCCATCTCTAGCTTCACTCTCACAGCCACCCCCTTCCGCCTCTCACAAAACCTCTCCACAGCCTCCTCCCCCACCTCCCCCCTTTCCCCCACCTGCAGCCCCAACCGCCTCAGCTTCCCCCCTTCCCCCCGCGCAGGGGACTGCCAGGGCGCGTCCCACCAGGCATAGGGCAGGGCGGGGGAGAGGGCGCACTGGGGGGGCTGGGCGGGGCAGGAGAGGCGGCCAGAGAAGGTGTGCCAGGCGTGGCCGCGACCCCCCTGGTTGGCTAAACCGTTTTCCAGTAGGTGCGAGTGGAAGGCGCTTAGCAGGAGGAAGCGCGATGCTTGAGGGGAGGGGGTGTCCTCTGGTGAGGGGAACGGGGGGAAAATGGGGGGAGAGAGAAAGCAGGAAAAGCGAGAGGGTGAGAAAGCGGCAGTGTGAGAGGAGGAGAGGGCACCAAGGAGGGGTCGGGCGGGGCAGGAGAGGCTGGGCGGGGCAGGAGAGGCGGCCTGAGAAGGTGTGCCAGGCGTGGCCGCGACCCCCCTGGTTGGCTAAACCGTTTTCCAGTAGGTGCGAGTGGAAGGCGCTTAGCAGGAGGAAGCGCGATGCTTGAGGGGAGGGGGTGTCATCAGTAGAATGGTAAGTGGGAAGGGGGAGGACATTGGAAAGGAGGATGGGGAATAGAAAGCAGGGAAAGGGAGAGAGTGAGAATGAGAATGTGCTAGGCGTGGCCCCTCCCCCCCTGCTTGGCCAACTCATTCTCCAGCAGCTGCAAGAAGCAGGCGCTTAGAAGGAGGAAGTGGGATGACGAAGGGGAGAGGGTGTCTTTTGCAGGGAGATGAGGGGGGTGGTGGGAGGTGGAGGGGAAGGGGAACAGGGAGAGGGATCGGGGCGGGGAAAGCGAGAGCATGAGAATGAGTCACCCTGAAAGAGGCTAAAGAGGTAGTGAGTCGAGAGAAGGTGCTGAAGACTTTCGAGCAGCGATTGTACGAGCGCACTGCCTTACCACGCCCCTTTGACCAGGTGGTGGGATCCTCTACCTCATAGCGCGGCTCACCTAGGCTCCTGGCAGCAGCAGCGAGGGAAGTGGCGAGCTGAGAGAAGGTGGTGAAGACAGAACGACAATTGCACAATCACCGAGCAGCCACACCCTACCAGGGACTCACCTAGGCTCCTGGCAGCGGCGAGAGAGGCAGCGAGCTGAGAGAAGGTGGTGAAGACCCTTGATCGCCCTGCAGAAATGAAGGCGTAGCGCGCCCGGGCGGCAAGGAAGAAGTCGACCAATGCCACCCAGCGGGGCAGGGGGCCCCAGTCTCGCACTCGGAAGGATGGGAGCTGCGAGGGAAGGGAAGGAGAATGCAGAGAGAGAGAAGAGAGCACAGAAACAAAAAAAAGAGTTGCTGGGAAGTTGTTGAAAGGCTATTACAACGTTGTTACAATTTTTAGCAGTGTTCTTTCAGAGGTTGCAAATTGACGCATCAGAGGTGATGCCCTTTCCAGGTGACTTTCCGGGTGTCTATGTGTATTTTGAGTCTACTCATAGGATGGTGAAAGGATGCTGAAGCTCGGTAGTGCTGATGCCTACTGATTTGTTCTTTGCAGAGGCAAGAGGGCTTTCCGGGTGTCTATGTGTATTTTAAGTCTACTCATAGGATGGTGAAAGTATGCTGAAGCTCGGTAGTGCTGCTGCTTACTGATTTGTTCTTTGCAGAGGCAAGAGGGCTTTCCGGGTGTCGGCGCACGAACTTAGCATGGTCAAAACGAATGATCTGATGGGCGGGGGGGGGGAAGGATAAGGGGGAAGAATAGGGATGTAGCGGGATGACGTGGGTAAGGGACGAGGTTTGGTGCGAGGGGGCTCTCTGGGTGTCGGCGCATGAACTTAGCATGGTCGAAACGAATGATCTGATGGGCGGGGGAGTAAAACTGGAGGAACGATAGGGAGGGAAGCGGGATGCAGTGGGTAATGGGAAAGTGGTGCGAGGGGGCTCTCTGGGTGTCGGCGCACAAACTTGGCATTGTCGAAACGAATGATCTGATGGGGGGGGGGGGAGGGGGAGGATAAGGGGGGAGAATAGGGAGGGAGGCAATTGAAGCAGGTAAGGGACCAAGTTTGGTGGGAGGGGGTTTTCCGGGTGTGGGCGCACAACTTGGCATGATCGAAACAAATGATCTAACCGCCGGGGAGTAAAGGGGGGTGGGGGGGGGAAGAGTAGAGAGGGAGAGGGGGGGATGAAGTGGGTAAGGGACCAAGTTTGGTGAGAGGGGTAGCCGAAAAAGGACGGGAAACTGGTGAAGGGAATAATGAGGTGAGGCAAGAATGCGGCGAAGGGAAAACGAAGTAAGGGAGGGTGGAGGGTGCGGTGAGGGGAGAATGGTGTGAAGGGAGACAGAGAGGTGCGGGGACGGAATGCGTGGGTGGTTTCATTTTCGGCGGAGAGAGAGCGAGAGAGAGAAGGCCTTAGCATCCAGCCCTCTCCCTCTTCCCTCTGCCCTCTCCCTCTGAGCCTATTTAAGGGGCCCTCTGTGCCTTCCCGGCCTCATTATTTCGTGGGTGTTTCATTTTCGGCAGAGAGAGAGCGAGAGAGAGAAGGCCTTAGCATCCAGCCCTCTCCCTCTTCCCTCTGCCCTCTCCCTCTGAGCCTATTTAAGGGGCCCTCTGTGCCTTCCCGGCCTCATTATTTCGTGGGTGTTTCATTTTCGGCGGAGAGAGAGCGAGAGAGAGAAGGCCTTAGCATCCAGCCCTCTCCCTCTTCCCTCTGCCCTCTCCCTCTGAGCCTATTTAAGGGGCCCTCTGTGCCTTCCCGGCCTCATTATTTCGTGGGTGTTTCATTTTCGGCGGCTCGCGCCGGCGGCCTTCGGCCGCGCGTTCCTGGTGGCAAGACACAAAACGTGGGTTCGGCTTATAAAGGGCACACACACACACAAAGGCAAGGAGCTGGGCAAGAGCAAGAGGCGCGGCATGCAATTCTACACGCGGCGGAGGCCTACATCGTGTACGGCTCCGCCCCCTCCACCTCAAGCATCGAGCGCTTGCACGCCGATACTGCAAGAAGGAGATGCGCCGACGACTGGAGCGTGTCCAAGGGGGTCCCGGCTTGAGCAGCCCCTACAAGATCCCCCACGTGGCGGGGGAAAGTACGGGCTAAGGGAGCTACCCCGGCGGGCGCATCCGACACGGGTGCCAACGGCGACTCGAGCGATTCTGCCAAAGTCAAGCAGGATCCTCGGGACCCTGGACCGAAACTGCTCGGAAAGCTCCGCGTGGCCCCACACACCGCCAGCTGCAAGTTCGCCACCACCTCGCACGCCTCCGCCAGATTCAAAATCCGGCACATCGTCAGCATGGGGTCTCTCCCCGCGCGAGTGGGGGGAGGTGCAGTCAGCGCTTCGCGCGGAAACGCCGCCGGCCAGCCTGGAGTCCGGCCAACAGATAAGCGCGGCGCAGAGAAGCCGGGAACCTGATGGGGGGTGCGGAACTGAGCCCTTCCCCCACGCGCGGGCTGATATTCGCGCAGCGTCGGCGCGCGCAGAGGAGCAACCTGGCCGGGGTCCGCGGCGAAGGGGGGACCGTTGGTCACCTCAATGTGGACGTGAGTCGGCGCCCCACTCGCCCGGGCCTGCCTCACCACCTCCACGAACGTGTCCGCAGCGCGATCGAGGGCAGGATCCGGCTGGTTGCCATTCCCGCCTCGCCCTCCGCCTTTCCGCCAGCCCCGCCGTCCCCCGGAACCAGCCGAATGTGGACGCGGGGGGGACTGCTCGCGGCGACCCGAATCCCAGCGACGCCCAGGCGACCCCCTCCCCCGTGTCGCCGGAGATCGCCGCGGAGAGCGTTGCGCGGGGGATCGCGCTCGGGGTGAGCGCTGGCCTGCCTGACCACGAGGGGATGGGCGGCGAGGAGAGCGAGGACGTGCAGGGGAACGCTGACCCCCCTCCCCGCGCTGATAGTGCTCGCGATGCTCAGGAGAAGGGCGGCGAGGAGAGGGCGGCCGAGGAGGCTGACGCGGAGGCGAGCACCCGCGCTCATGCCGCGGCTGACCGTCCGGGCGGTTCGACGCAACACGTGCAGGCGCCCACGAATACTCCGGCGAGGTGAGGCGCGCGGCAGGCCGATGGGGAAGTGTTTGCACCCGCTCGAAGCGGCGAACGGGCTCGCTTGCGGAGGGATGCGCAAGGAGACGCGGACGAGGCCCGGCAGGCGCAGGCTGCGGCAGCGCGCTCTCCGCGGAACCCTCCAGCTCCGGATCCCGTCTCGCGGATGGGTCCATCACCCCCGATCGTACCGCAGCCGACGCCAGCGCGCCGACGAAGCGAAAACGAGACGGTCGCGGCGCCGCAGACAGGGCGCGAGGGAGCTGCTGTTGGAAGAGCAACGCGTGGAATCCGCGTAGGACGCGGCAGCCGCCGCGGACGACGAGGTAACGAGAGAGGACGAAGAGGTGGTGGAACACGAGGTTCAAACAGGCGCCGCACAGGTGCAAGCGGCTACGCGAGAAATGCGGAAAGGCTGATGCGAAACGGCGCGGAGGGCGGCGAGGAACCGCTTAGCGAGGAGGCAGAGGGGGAAGTGGAGAATGAGGAAAGTGACGAGGGTGACCTTGCTTTTAACCCTGAAAGAGAGGGGATGTTGGGGGCAGAAGCTGAGGAGGACGAGGAGGAGTTGGAACTTATGCTTCGAGGAGAGGAGCTCCCCAGCCCAAATGTCCGAGGCGAACCTGCCAACCGAACCACAGCTCAGAACCGAGCCGCGGGGGGAAATCACGCAAGGAGGGGAAATCGAGCCGCGACAGAGACTGGAGTTGACTCTGCGACAGCCAATGAGAATTCAGCAGCCCCAATTCCGACCCCCCCAATGCTCAAACCCGACGACCTGGCGAAAAATACTGACCTGTTCGCCCAGGTTGCCGACTGGGACATTGGCCCGCTGCGAGATAGTCGCCAACCCCCAGTCGCCCGCCACCCTCCAAAAGACCTTTGCGAGTCTTTCGCGATTTGCCTGCTGACACCGTTACTCCACCTGGCAGCCAACCCCGAGTCAGAACCTGGCTGGATGTTACTCACCTTCCTCCCTCGCTTACTTCTTCGCTCCTCGTCAGCTCGTAAGCCTGACTGGAGCGCAAATATGAACAGGCTCCTGCGATTTCGCCAAGGGCTCTGGGCCGGCCTCTACGAAATACCCACGAAATAATGAGGCCGGGAAGGCACAGAGGGCCCCTTAAATAGGCTCACAGGGAGAGGGCAGAGGGAAGAGGGAGAGGGCTGGATGCTAAGGCCTTCTCTCTCTCGCTCTCTCTCCGCCAAAAATGAAACTCCCTCTGAGCCTATTTAAGGGGCCCTCTGTGCCTTCACCCAGTGAAGGGACCGACCCAGTGTCCTTCCAGGACGAGAACTGCAACCGCGCACCTGGTTGGGCGGCTAGGGCGGCAGCTGCTCGGAAGGAGGAGAAATATGCGGGACGGAATGCGTGGGTGGGGTTCCACGCCTTGGCCGTGGAGACCTACGGCTACCCGTCGCCGGGGGTACTGGCTTACCTGCGGCAGTGCGCGGAGCTGGCTGCGAAGCTCCGCTACAACGCAGCCCCTACCTCTCGAGAGGCTGCCAAGCTGCTGACGGAGTACCGCCAGCGCTGGAGCGTGTGCCTCCAGAGGGCACAGGCAAATGCCCTCCGCACCAAGACCAACGAGGCCCTGGAGGCGGACGAGCTCAGCCTGCAAGGGCCGTGGGCCCCTCTCAACGAGGGGCAGCTGCACCAGCTGATCGAGCCCCCGTCCGACCACTAGGGTCGGACAGCGGGGGGAGGGGAGGGGAGTAGGTGATGGTTGATAGGTCTGCTTGTTTGCCTAGTTTGCATGTGTCTGCTTCAAACCTTTGTACCACCCTTCAGCTAATACACGGGCCATTTGAGAGGTGCGGGGAGAGTGCTACCTCCTTTGCAGCACGGTTCACCCACCTTGGCAAAGTCAGCACGCCTATCATGCGCCTATCTTGCGCCTATCTTGCGCCTATCTTGCGCCTATCATGCGCCTATCTTGCGCCTATCATGCGCCTATCTTGCGCCCATCTTGCGCCTATCATGCGCCTATCTTGCGCCTATCTTGCGCCTATCTTGCGCCTATCTCGCGCCTATCTTGCGCCTATCCTGCGCCTATCCTGCGCCTATCTTGCGCCTATCTTGCGCCTATCTTGCGCCTATCTTGCGCCTATCTTGCGCCTATCTTGCGCCTATCTTGCGCCTATCTTGCGCCTATCCTGCGCCTATATTGCGCACCACGCTTGGGTGATCCGCAAATTCGTGTGCCGACTCAAACTAAGGCCTGCCAATATTCTTATCGGTTGGAAAGGCAAGGAGCGGCACAGTAGACCCACCTTTGCAAAGAGCGGCACAGTAGACCCACCTTTGCAAAGTCGGACGTCAGTGCACCTATCTTGCGGAACACGCTTGGATGATCCGCCACCACCACCACCCTCAGCTTGTCCTTATCGCTCGCCGCTTTCTTGCTCCCTGCTGTCTTGTTCTCGCTCCCTCCTTTCTCATCCTCATCCCCAGCCGCCTTCTTCTGTCCTTGAGTCCACTTCACCCTCTTCCCCGTCTTTGCCTTCCCCGATTTCGCCTTCCCCGGCTTTCCCTTCTTTGTCTTCCCCGTTTTCGTCTTTCCTACTTTCGTTTTTCCCTTCTTCGTCTTTCCCTTGGTTGTCTTGCCCTTGCCCTTCCCTCCTCCCCCTTTCTGCTTCTGCACCACCACCGCATCAAAAACACTCGCACGACGCGCACTCGCACGCTCCAGATTTTGAGGCGCCTCAAAAGTCGTTGTCTTGCCCTTGCCCTTCCCTCCTCCCCCTTTCTGCTTCTGCAGCACCACCACCGAGTCACGACGCACACTCGCACGCTCCAACTGACCTTCCTCTTCCCCTCCACCCATCCCCTCTCCTCCTCTGCCCTCCTCCTCCCGTCCTCCACCCCTTTCTCTACCCACCTCCTCCCCTTCTCCACCCATCTCTATCTCTCCACCACCCTCTCCTCTACCCTCTGTCTCCAGCAATCGTCTGCCTCCGCCCCACCGAATTCTCCCCTTCCCCCACGCCAGCAACCTACTCCCCATGCTGCCTGCACCAACACCTGTTGGTCTCATCGCTGCAACTGCTTCACCTCCTCCTGTTCCTGCTGGCCCTGCGAATACTACTCCAGACGCTACAGTAATTACAGATGCCGCTCCACCCGTTGCTGCTGTTGGTGCTGGCAGTGCTGCTTCTGTTGCTGCTACCGTTTGTATTCTTTCAAGTGCGTCTGCTTGCTCCTTCTGCTGCTCGTCCTGCTGCTTCACCCTGTGAATGTGCTCCAGTGCCTTTTTAAGACACAGAGCCGCCGCAGAAGCCACGGATTCCAGCCTGCAGGAAGAGGGGGGAGAGGAATGAAGCTCCCCCATTAAAACCCATAGAAAACGGGCATGCAGCGCTATAGAGCCTGTGGGTGGAAAGGGGAGCAACGAAACGAGTCCCACCCACACATGATTGTTGGCATCCCACGCACGATACGAAGAGTCTGGCCTGCCAGTCCGCACCAACACACCCAACCCATGCCGACACATGCCCCATCACCCATCATCTACGAGCCCACGCCCCACCTCACCGCCGCCATGCCAGCGGCAAACTGAAGTGTTTTGAGACGTCTCAAAACACTTCTGTTTACTCGCAGCCCACCTGTTCACTAATATTGAAATCACTTTTGAGAATTCTCAAAAGTGTTTACTCGCAGCCCACCTGTTCACTAATATTGAAATCACTTTTGAGAATTCTTAAAAGCGTTTACTCGCAGCCCACCTGTTCACTAATAACAGCACCAGCCCACGCCCCACCTCACCGCCGTCATGCCAGCGCCAAACAAACTTCCTCTCCTTTTCCCATTCCACCCATCCCTTTCCCATTCCACCCATATCAACCCACACCAACCCAAGCCAACCCACGCCAACCCAAGCCAAACGTGGCACCAGCACAGCAAGCACATCCAAGCCACTCACCCGCCGTGGCGGTAATGAATTACCACGTCGGCATCCCTCCACTGCCCAGCGCCCACCTCACTGCATCCGCCGACGGCAACCCCAACCTTGGCACCAATGTAGCAAGCGAATCCAAGCCACTCACCCGCCGCGCAGAAGTGAATGAGCGCATCTGCGTCCCTCCTGCCACTCCCCAGCGCCCACACCAACACACAGCAGCCCACGGTAACCCAAACCTTGGGAACAACATAGCAAGCAAATCCAAGCCACTCACCCGCCGTGCCGAAAGTGAATGACCACATCAGCGTCCCTCCCTCCGCTCCCCAGCGCCCATCTCACTGCCTCCGCTACTGCTGGCGTGGGCAGCAGCAGCACGCGCGCAATCTCCCCAAACAGATTGGGGCGCGAATTGGGGTCCCACGGCACGCCCATTATGGCCTGTGCTCTCTCCCGCATCGCCGGATGGAGGTTCTTGAGGAAGGTTTGAATGCCCACTGAGTCCAGTGCATCATCAAAACTGGTGGGAGTGAGGGGAGAACGCGGGGGAAGGAAGGGTGAGCGCATCTCCCCAAAGAGGTTGGGGCGGGAGTTGGGGTCCCAACAAACGCTCATGATGGCCTGTGCTCTCTCCCGCATGGATGGGTGGACGTTCTTCAGGAAGGTTTGAATTCCCACTGAATCCAACGCATCATCGAAACTGGAGAGGGAAGGAGCGAGGGAGGAAAGAACCAAAGGGGGACTGGGATTGCAGCGCGAGTTGGGGTCCCAGGGCACGCCCATGATGGCCTGGGGTCTCTCCCGCATGGCGGGATGGAGGTTCTTGAGGAAGGTTTGGATGCCCACTGAGTCTAATGCATCGTCGAAACTGGAGTGGGGGAGGGGGGAACGCAGGGGAAGGACAGTAGGAGCCCATGATGGCGTGTGCTCTCTCCCGCATGGCGGAATGGAGGTTCTTGAGGAAGGTTTGGATGCCCACTGAGTCTAATGCATCATCAAAACTGGAGTGGGGGAGGGGAGAACTCAAGGGAAGGAAGGGTGAGAGGTTTGAAACAGGCAATCTCCCAAACACGTTGGGGCGAGAGTTGGGGTCCCAAGGCACGCCCATGATGGCCTGTGCTCTCTCCCGCATGGCTGGATGGAGGTTCTTGAGAAATGCCTGAATGGGTACTGAGTCCAATGCATCGTCCAGACTGGAGGGGGGAGATATGGAGCAGGAAGGAAGGTGCGAGGGAGGGCGAGAGGGAGGGTGAGAGGGAGGGTGAGAGGGAGGGTGAGAGGGAGGGTGAGAGGGAGGGTGAGAGGGAGGGTGAGAGGGAGGGTGAGAGATCACAGGGAGGGAGGTGGGGAGGGACGGAGGGCCAAACTCGAGGGGAGCGTGCAAGGGAGTGGGGAAGAAGAGGGAGGGCGGTGAGGGGAAGAAGAGGGAGGGCGGTGAGGGGAAGAAGAGGAGGGCGGTGAGGGGAAGAAGAGGGAGGGCGGTGAGGGGAAGAAGAGGGAGGGCGGTGAGGGGAAGAAGAGGGAGGGCGGTGAGGGGAAGAAGAGGGAGGGCGGTGAGGGGAAGAAGAGGGAGGGCGGTGAGGGGAAGAAGAGGGAGGGCGGTGAGGGGAAGAAGAGGGAGGGCGGTGAGGGGAAGAAGAGGGAGGGCGGTGAGGGGAAGAAGAGGGAGGGCGGTGAGGGGAAGGGAGAAGAAGAGGGGAAAGGATGGAATGAAACGCATGATTTCCCAAGAAATAGAAAATCACCAGATCTAGTGCGGTACTTTATCATGCTCTTTTTTTTCATGGAATGAAACGCATGCTTTCCCCGTACGTTTCTTCCCTGTGAACCAATCGAATGCAACAATTTCATTCCACTGGTTGCTCTCACTCACTGGTGTGGCTCGCGAGATAATGGGCTCCATCCACGTGTGATGAGTCGACTAGAAAATGCTGTTTGAGAATTCTCAAAAAACATAATGGGCTCCATCCACGTGTGATGAGTCGACTAAAAAATCGACTAGAGAATCGACTCATCACACATGGGCTCCTTCCACGTGGACCAATCATCACACAGCGTGCGTGATCTTGCCCGGTTGGCAACTAGAAGCAGCCTGTAGCACCGCTCAAAGAGATGCTCTCTAGCAACGATGATGGTGCTTTTGAGAAGAGATGCTCAAAAGTGCTGCTCAAAAGTGCTGCTCAAAGAGATGCTCTCTAGCATGCACGCACCAGATGATGGGTTCCCTCCACGTGGACCAATCATCACACATCGTGCGTGATCTCGCCCGGTTGGCAAAAGAGTCCGTCCTGACCACCAGAGGCCGCCTGTAGCGCCGCTCGCAGTCATGCTGATACCAGAGGTGCCTCAACTCGAGCATGGAGAATACTTCTGGGGAGAAGGCGAGATAGTCCTTCCACAGCCTCTGACCCACCGTCTTGTTGCTCTCCATCAGTGGCCGCGTGCCACTGGGGGTGGAGGAATGATTGGAGGGAGGTTGGGACGAGAGGGGAGAGGCAGAGATGGGTGGTGAGTGGTGTCGACCGGTGGTCAGCAGCGGCAGCAGCAGTTGCCCGTGTGGTGGTGCCAGAGGTGCCTCAACTCGAGCATGGAGAATACTTCTGGGGAGAAGGCGAGATAGTCCTTTCATAGCCGCTGCCCCACCGTCTTGTTGCTCTCCATCAGTGGCCGCGTGCCACTGGGGGGGTAAGGAAAAGGAGGACGGTGGGAAGCACAGGGGAAAAACGCGGGCTGGACAAGTGAGCCCACCACACCCCACCACACCCCACCACACCCCACCACGCCTCGCAATCATGACTCACACTTTCTCTCCCACATTGATGGAACAGTTGAGCATGAGAGCCAGAGCTGGAGCCGTGAGGATCTTGTAGAGATTGTTCCCCCACCGCACCCCACTGCACCTCACCACATCCCACCCTACAACACCCCACCAACTCACCAGTTGTCGGTGAAAATAACAGAGCGGGTGAGCATGAGAGCAAGAGCCGGGGCTGTGAGGACCTCAGAGAGGTTGTTCCCCAGCCCACCACACATAACCACTGCCCACCCCACCAGACCCCGCCACACTTCACCGCAGCCCACACCACCGCACCTTACCACATCACTCACTAGTTCTCGCCCATGATGATAGAGTGGTTGAGCATGAGAGGAAGAGCCGGGGCTGTGAAGATCTTGTAGACATTGTTTCCCAGCCCACCACACTTCACCACTGCACACCCCACCAGACCCTGCCACACTTCACCGCAGTCCACCCCACCACACCCGACCACAGCCCACCACGCCCCACCACATCTAACCCAGATCACTCACTAGTTCTCGCCCACGATAATAGAGTGGTTGAGCATGAGAGCAAGAGCCAGGCCTGTGAGGATCTTGTAGAGGGTGTTCCCCACCTCACCGCGATTCACCACAGCCCACCCCACCAGACCCCACCGTACCTCACCGCAGCCCACCCTGCAACACCCCACCAACTCACTAGTTCTCGCCCACGATAATGGAGCGGTTGAGCATGAGAGCAAGAGCCGGAGCCGTGAGGATCTTATACAGGTTGTTGCCTAAGCCCTCGTGCTTGCCATAGCCCAACACAAAGCTCCTCTGACAAAACTCGTGAGCCGGCAGCGCACGCAGGGCAGAGGCGCCTGGTAGGGAGGAGGGGGGAGAGAGGAGGGAAGAGAGAGAGGGGAGGAAACAGGAGCGAAGAGAAAGAAGGGAAGAGACAGGAGGGAGGAGAGACAAGGGGAAACGAGAGTGGGTGGTGCAGTGAGGATCTTGTACAGGTTGATCCCTACCCTAGCCCCTCGTGCTTGCCATATCCCAACACAAAGCTCCTCTGACAAAACTCGTGAGCCGGCAGCGCACGCAGGGCAGAGGCACCTGCAGGGACAGGGAGTCGGGAGGGGGGGAAGAGACAGGAGGGAAGAGACAGGAGGGAAGAGACAGGAGGGAAGAGACAGGATGATGGGGTGAGCTGAGCTCGGCCCAGCTCATATCCCAACACAAAACCCCGCTGCGCACAGGATGATGGGGTGAGCTGAGCTCGGCCCAGCTCATATCCCAACACAAAACCCCGCTGCGCACAGGATGATGGGGTGAGCTGAGCTCGGCCCAGCTCATATCCCAACACAAAACCCCGCTGCGCACAGGATGATGGGGTGAGCTGAGCTCGGCCCAGCTCATATCCCAACACAAAACCCCGCTGCGCACAGGATGATGGGGTGAGCTGAGCTCGGCCCAGCTCATATCCCAACACAAAACCCCGCTGCGCACAGGATGATGGGGTGAGCTGAGCTCGGCCCAGCTCATATCCCAACACAAAACCCCGCTGCGCACAGGATGATGGGGTGAGCTGAGCTCGGCCCAGCTCATATCCCAACACAAAACCCCGCTGCGCACAGGATGATGGGGTGAGCTGAGCTCGGCCCAGCTCATATCCCAACACAAAACCCCGCTGCGCACAGGATGATGGGGTGAGCTGAGCTCGGCCCAGCTCATATCCCAACACAAAACCCCGCTGCGCACAGGATGATGGGGTGAGAGAAAAAAACAGGGAGGAGATGAGGGCAGGGGGCAAGGGAAAGGGAGTTGGGGGTGAAACCAGGGATAGTGGATAAGGAAGTTAACAGACCTACAAAGAGATGTGTGCAGAGGAGAGGAGGAGCACGCCACGCCAGCACATGGCAGGACGAGAAGCATCATCACCCACCGTGCACCACCAGGTGTCGCTCAATCATTCGCCGCAGCTTCAGACTAGCCACATCGGTGCTGCCAGCTGTCGCCTCGCCCATCTCTGCCACGTTGGCACACGCCTTGTCAGGCCTCCACCTCGGCTCCGGCGGGTCAAAGGGCGGCTCACAGGCATCTTCTCTTCCTCCACCTCCTGCTGCTGCATGTCGCATCCTCCACAGAGCCTTCAGCCGCTCTTTCTTCTCCTTGTCTCGGTCTGCCTTCTTTTTCTTCTTTGCCTTCCCACTCGCCGGCTTTGCCTTGGGCTTGCTTCGCACCTTGTCTGCACCCTCTCCCTGCAGCCCAACAAGCTTGCCAAAATCGCCCATACTGCGGCTGCCACCATGTCCCGCCCCGAACCCCGCTTCCTCCAAATCATCGTCTAGTTGCTCCTCCTCTGCTTCCCCCGCCTCCTCCTTGTCTGCACCCACTCCCTTCAAGTCAATGAGACTGCCCAGGTCGCCCATACTGCGGCTGCCACTGCGGCTGCCACCCCGTCCAGCCCCAAATCCCACTTCTTCCAAATCGTCTTCTAGTTCCTCCTCCTCTGCTCCCCCCGCCTCCTCCCCTGTTTTCTGTATCTCAAACTTCGCTTCTTCCTCTGCTTCCCCCTCTGCCTCCCCTTTTGCCTCCTTAACACTCCGCGCGCCCACATTGCTGCTCTTTCTCGCCCCCACTCCCCCTTCTTCCGACTCTCCCTCATGACCCCTCCCAGTGTTCCTCCTGCTATACCCCCCACCGCCCCCCTCGCTTCCCTCCTCCCCTTCTTCCTCCGCACCCTCCTCCTCCTCCTCCTCCTCCTCCTCCTCCTCCTCCTCCTCCTCCTCCTCCTCCTCCTCCTCCTCCTCCTCCTCCTCCTCCTCCTCCTCCTCCTCCCCATCCTCCTCTTCTCCCTCTTCCCCAATATCATAATCATCGAGCCCCCCTTTCCCTTCCCCTTCGCCTTCTCTTTCCCTTTTCCCTGATCCCCCTTCCACAAGTTCCTTCTCATATTCCCCCTTCTCCTCTTCCCCCTTCACCTCTTCCCCAAGATCATAATCATCCAGTCCCCCTTTCCCTTCCCCTTCTCGCTCCCGTTCATCATCGCCTAAAACCCCCTCCGTGAGCTCTTTCCCATCATCCTCCTTCCCTTCTTCCCCCTCGCCCTCCTCGTCCTCTTTGCCTCGTCTTTCATAGTAATCCTCTCCCTCGTACCCGCCCTCCCCACCCTCACCCTCCTCCTCTGCACTCTCTTCCTTCTCTTCTCCATCCTCTCCCTCCTCCTCCCCGCCCTCTCCCTCCTCCTCCCCGCCCTCTCCCTCCTCCTCCCCACCCTCTCCATCCTCCTCCTCCCCATCCCTCCTCTCTCGCTCACCACTCTCCCCGCCTTCCACATCCCCCCCGGCCTTCACTCTACCCAGGCCTTCCCCTCCTCTTCTAACTCTCACCTCTCCCCTTACTCCCTGAATTCTTGTTTCTTCCCCTTCCTCCGCTTCCCCTTCCCCCTCCCCATCCCCTTCAACTTTCATGCCCCCTTCCCTTTCCCCTTCCCCTTCCCCTTCCCCCTTCCCTTTCTCCGCCTCCCCCTCCTCCACTTCGTCGCTCTCCTCGTCCCCCTTCCCCCCAACTGAACCCCCCGCATCCGCAACCTCCCCTTCCGCTTCCGCCTTCCCCTGAGCGCCACTGTCAAATCTCCCCCGGTCACTTACCCCTGCCGTCTCAACCTCCCCTTCCCCCTCATTTCCCCCCTTCCCCTCGAATCCTCCTTTCCGCACAGCACTCCCCCTTTTGCCAAGCCTAGGCCACAGCTCTCCCGCATCCCGCCAAGATATCTCCTGCCCCGGCCACCCACCCTCCAGCATAGCGCCAACCATTGCGAGCTGCTCCTCCCGCCCATCCTCCCGCCCATCCTCCTCCCGCCCATCCCCCTCCCAGTCCCCGTGCTCCCTTCTGTCCTCACTCCCATTTACTCCCCCACGCTCCTCCGCTTGCTCTCCCCCACTGCCGTCAATCGCATTCACCCGCTCTTCCAGAGAACTGCTACCACTCCCCTCCTCGTCCTCCTCTTTCCGCTCCTCCTCCTGTTTCCCCACGCGCCCCTCTTTCCCGCCATCCGCTTGTGTCCCCTCCGCCTTATTAATCCGGCCAGGAATCGGAACGGAACTATCCCCTCCAACTTCTCCCTCCACGTGCCTGCCTTCGGTCCTTCCTCTCCCGGATTTTCCGGGCCTTTCGTCCTCGGAATTCGCAGCTAGCCATCTCTTTCTTATCTCAGCCGTTGGTTCTGTAAGCCGATCCCCGCCGTAGCTGATGTGAACCTCGTTTTGCGCGCTTTCCGGCGCAGATTCTGTATCGGTCTCTTTATTCTTATCCTCAGACCCTGGTTGGATTTCGCCGTCTACAGTCAGGTGTGAAAGCTTCGCGATAGAGTTACCCGGTTCGTGGAGTTTCGTATGCCCGAGCAGATGAAAAAGGAAGGCTGCGAAGAAAATCGCAGACCATGTGACTATATTGAGATTGTTACCACACAGACTCGAAATCCACCCTCGATGCTGATGTCTCGTCTTGCTGTGCGAACTCGGGTGAACGTGCGAAATCGTGTGCGAACGAGTCTGGGGAGGAATTTGCGACAGACTGTGCGAGTGAGCGCCTGGGGGTGAGCGAAGGTGAGTGCATGGGAGGGATTGTGACTGTAAGCGAGTGGGACGCTCTTGCCGGATCTTCGCCGGGTCCTTCACCACCACGGCGGGACCCATGTGATTATATCGAGCGACGCACTTGATTCGAGGACGATAACGTGGCCCGGAGGAATAATAAATAATGTCGCATTAAGTTGTCAGTCAAAATAAATAACACGCTAACGTACAGCTCGTAAGACGGATGCCGGCCAGCTGGCAGGATGTGGTGATCCTAGACAGCTGCGAGGCGATCAGTTCCATTGATTTCCAAAGATGCTGCTTACGGAATCACGTTTCAGCAGTAATGCCGGAAAGGAAGGCAAGCTAGGAGATTTGCCTCATGCTGCCGACCTTGGTATTCTGGAATCGCCATTGCCAGTAGGGACTGACTGGGAAGGCTCACTCGCCATGTAATCGACGGCACATAGCACTGGCAACGACCAGCATTTTCCAGGTTTGAGTCTGGTTCGGGCTGCCTGCTGGTTTGGACTCAGGGATAATCCTGAAGGTTTGTCTGGCCTGGGCACGTCCTTCGGCTCGGCACAAACTCTCTTCGTTCGGTTCGGCTGAGCCATTGAAGGGAAGAATTTGACTGGTGATTTGGCCCTGACGGGGATTTGGCTTGGTCCAGGTAAGTCCAGTTTGGCGGGTCGAAGCCGAATTCGTCGGCATGGATCTCGGTATGGTAACATTCGCCCAGACATGGGATGGGATGGTGTGATTCAAGGAGCATTACGTGACGCTGTCACCACCACTCACGACAGTCGCACGCTTGTTTGGCGAAAAGTGCGGGAGGTGAACCCAGTACGACGCGGTTCGCAACTGGGGAATATGTACCGCTCGAGTTTTGGGGGAAAAGCGGATGGTAACTAACAAAGACATCCTTAACAGCCGGGGAGTTGGCTCGACCGTCTGAGGTCATGGTGCAGTCGCTGCGAGAGAAGCACCCGGCTAGCGCAGGCGAGGCACCACAGTGGGCCCGCGATTTCACCATCTATACCGCTCAGCGGCCTTCACTCACGACCGACATCCTGGCCAGAGCTATCCATACAGTCGCCCGAGCCTCAGCACCAGGGCCATCGGGGTGGATCACAGAGCATCTGCGCGACACCTTCCTCACTGAACCTACCTGCCTCTCCCAACTGTTGGAAGTGTTCAACCAATGGGTGGCGGGACAGGTCCCGAGCGGGCTCGGCCGTGGCTCGCCGCATCCAACCTAGTCGAACTTTCCAAGCCTAACGGCGACGTCCGGCCGGTGGCGATCGGGGAGGTGCTTCCTCGTATCCTTGCTCGAGCTCTCTGCATCTCGCTCCGCCCTGCGATGGTTTCCTACTTCCTGCCGTGCAACCAGCTGGGAGCGGGCACCAGGTTCGGGGCGGAGATTCTCACTCATTCTTTCCGGTCAGCGCTGGCCACTCACCCCGACTGGTGTGCGCTACAGATAGACGTCGCAAACGCCTTCAATTCGTTTCACCGTCATGTGATGTTCGATGGGCTGCGGGAGTCGCCTTTCTCAGGGATGATCCCATTCTTGCGTGTCTTTTATGGGACACCTAGCGACCTGTACCTCCGAGCGGGCCCTTTCGTACAGAGCCTCGAGTCAGCATGGGGATCGAGGCAGGGGGACCCGCTCGGCCCTTTTCTTTTCGCGTTCACACAGCAGCAGGTGATGGAGCCGGTTACTAGGGAGTTCAAGGACCTGCTTTTCCTCAGCTATGTAGACGATACCTATATTTTGGGGCCAGCGGCTAGGATTCTGGAGGCTTTTGGGGTGCTGCGGGAGCGGTTGGAGTGGGTAGGGCTGGAGGTGCAGGCGCACAAGTGCCGGTTTTGGGAGCGCGAGGGCAAGGAGGTGGAGCGGGCACTGCCATTGGGGATGCAGCGGGTGGATGAGGGTCTTACTATGGTGGGCGTGCCTATTGGAGAGGAGGTTTGGGAGGTGGTCCGACTACGGGAGCGGCTTCGACAGTTGCAGGCGCCACTGCCATGGCTCCCCTTGCTCGACCACCCCCAGATGGCTTCACACCTCCTCGCCATTGCAATTTCAGCGCGGCCGATGTACCTCGCCCGGACTATGCCGCCGCGTCCGGAGGTGGTTGAGGCTTTTAGGGATTGGGACAGCTGTTTAGAGGATTGCTTTGAGCAGCTTTTCCCACCTGGCACTTGGGAGCAGGACCCCGACCGGTCTAGGCGCGCACGCATGCAGCTGCATCTCCCTGTGCCTCTCGGTGGGTTCGGGATCCGGGCGGCGGCCTTTTTGAGCCCACTGTCCTATGTTTGCGGGTGGGCGCAGGCCGCGCGGGACATTGCACAGTTAGGGGTGGCGGGTGAGGAGGCGATGTTTGCTGAGTACCTCACCACTTCGACAGGGGCAGAGTTTCTTGACCCGTGGTTTGTCAAGGCTCTCGAGCAGCTGCCAGCGACTATCCGCCACGAGATACCGGGCTTACCTTTGTGTGTAGCGGCCCCTCCTGTTCGGCTTTTCCAGGCGCGTCAGCGGCAGTTAGCTGTAGAGGAGCTCCAGGCACTGCGCCGCTTGGCTCGTGACGATGCTACCTTGGCCCGTTTCACATCCCTTCAGGGCCCGGGGGCAGGTGCATGGGTTTCGGCGGTTCAGGCTCACTCAGATCTCACATTCACTGCGGCTGAGTGGGGCATTGCTGCTGCTATACGGCTCGGCCTCCCAATTCAGCAGCTGCAGGTGGCGGGGAGGTGTGTTTGTGGCACAGCGTATGTTGACCCAGCAGACCCGCACCATGCCCTGAGATGCAGGCACCAGCATGGTCCTTCTCGGGTGCATGATGAGGTGAAGTTTGCGGTGGCGAATATCTCAATATATAGAATTATATATTATTCTGACACGCCCCCATAAGTGCCTGTAGGGAAGAATGTGCAGTCAACGCCCCCATAATGGGGTACACGAGGCAGAGTGCGCAGCAGAACGGGAGAGGGCAGGCAAGGAGGAGGAGAGAGAGAGGGAGAGAGAGGAGAGGAGGTGGTAGGTTCTGGTTGGTCACCCCCTACATCCCCTCACCCTCCCCCTCCCCCTCCCCCCCACACTGCTGCAGGAGCAGCAGAGGGGGGCAAACGGAGGAGGATGGGAAGGGGAGACCACACATCACCCATCACCCCCACACCCGCCACCCCCAGTCCCTCCCCGGGCTCCCCCACACCCTCACACCCTCCCCCCCAGCGGCAGCTGCAGCAGAGGGAACAAAAGGAGGAGGAGAAGGGGGGGGGGGGGGGGGGGGGGGGCGACGCACGGCCTCCCCGGGCGCCAAAGCAGGCGGCAGAGGGGGCGACGCCTGCCCCCCCCCTTTCAGGTCGCGCGGCCCCCTCAGGTCGCCTCGACAGGTGACGGGAAGAAGGGGGGGGGGGCGGTGCACGTGCCCCCGGTGTGCCGCAGCTGGTGACGAGGCATGGCCGAGGCGGGGTCGGGACCGCAAGTGGGCGGGGCCGAAGTGGGCGACGGGGCCGCAAGGGTGGGCGGGGCCGCAGGTGGCGACGGGGCCTCAGGTGGCGGGGCCGCAGGTGACATCGGGGCCTCAGGTGGCGGGGCCGCAGGTATAGGAGACGGGGCCGGGGCCGCAAGGTAGTCGACAGGGCCGCAACGGAGGGCGGAGGAGCCGCAAATGTGGGCGGCGAGGCCGCAGGTGAGGGCGGCGACGGGGCCGCAGCTGAGGGCGGCGACGGGCCGCAGGTGAGAGCGGCGACGGGGCCGCAGCTAGGCGACGGGGCCGTAGGGCCGCAGGTAGGCGACGAGGCCGTAGGGCCGTAGGTAGGCGACGGGGCCGTAGGGCCAGGGGCACGTCACGGGGCGTGCCGAACACAGATTAGCAGCGGAAGCTTTAGGGTAGGCACACAGGTGAGGACCTTGGTCACTCTGATAACATGTTGAGGTACTAGGAAGGCTTAGGAGCCATAGCTAGTAGGTCGAGTAGTTGAGTTCGAGTGAGTTTGGGTGAGTCGAGAAGATTGCAACAAAAGAGTGGCTTCACTATAGAGCGAGCAGTACAAATAGGCAAGAATGAAGAAAGGTGCACCACCAAACAGAAAGTTAGATGACTACAGTAGTCTACACTACAGGCAGTTACAAAACAATATATAGAATTATATATTATTCTGACATAAGGCGTCGGGGGGGGGTGGTGACATTGGAGGATAGTGTGGTGCTGCAAGGGAAGCGGGTTGATGTGGCGGTGCGACGTCCAATGGCTGGAGAGGCTCACGCCCTAGAGATCAGCGTCGCGGACCCGCTATCGCTGTCTCCATCACTGCTGGGACAGTGCGGGCGTCAAATAGGTGTGGCGGCAAGGGAATGAGAGCGTCGCAAAACGAGTGATTACGCGCCTCTGCTTGCACGCAACCGGGGCGTGCAGTTCACCCCTTTGATAGTTGAGACGTGGGGGTGTCTCGGCGGTCGTTTTCAGCGGTGGCTTCGTCAGCAGGGGGATGCGCACGTGGGGCTAGCTGTGTCGCGGGGGGCTTGTCGAGAGGACGACTCTGTGTTTTCGGCTTATCTTTTAGGGTCACTGAAGGCGCTCATCGAGGTGGCGTTACAACGTGCGCAAGCCCGTGTCATCCTGCTTCGAGCGGCGTCTTCCATGGGGGGGATTAACGTAGATTTGGCGGATCGGGAGAGGGACGATGTCGATGTGGAAGGTGGGGCTCTCTGGTTGGAGGCCCCGTACATGGTCGATACGTTGATGTGATTGAAGGGGGGGGGGGGGGGGGGGGGATGGGGCGTGGGATGGGATGTCTTGATGGGGTGTCTTGACTGGGCGTTTTGATTGGGTAACTTGAGGGGGGGTTTTATGTGTGTTGCATTTGGGTTCTTTTTGGGAGTTTCATTTTCCTTCTCCCTTTCTTTCTCCATTCCCTTTCTTTTTTATCAGGGTTTTACAAAGGTGCAGGACTGATGATAAGGGTTGCTTAAAACCAAAAATTAGTATATATTAGCTGTTAAGAGTGGAGGGCTGTGTCGTGTGTAATCTCTGATCGGGAAGCTGATAATAACCAACTGACAAAAAAAAAAAAACAAGAGGCGACGAAATTGTCTTAGGGGTTGCGAAGCAAAAATTGTAACATGCGTTTGAAGTTTGAACGACCTTAATCTTGTCGTTATATTTGGATAAAAAAAATACGTGTTTTTTAATCTTTTGATACGAAACTCGGTTTCGTATGTTTTTTTTTTTTTTCCTTTTTTGTTGAACCTTGAACCAAATTGATGATGATGGTTTGTATGTTGAGATAGAGGCGAGGAATGAGTGCACTATGAAATGAAACAAGTACAAGTACCAACCCTAATTGGGTTGTACCCCCTATGGGCTACCCCACTACAACCTAAATATATGCATCAGTAATATAATCATCTGACACACCCCCATAGGCAAAGTGGGGGAGAGCAAGGGGTCACAAGACCAGTCAAGCAAAGCAAAGCAAAGCAAAGCAAGCTCAGGGTGGATCTCAAGGATACCACACAAATTCCGAGCACAAGGTCAAGGCCACAAGGCCAGTTCACATGCAGCAGAGCATATATATATAACAGTGCTAAACAAGCAAGAGCAAGGATATATATATGCAGCAGTACAAGCAAGGTCAAGAGGTAAGCAAATGAGGCCCAGTGGGCACAAGGCCTAGCAGAGTGCAAAAGCGCTGATGGTCACGAGGCGGAAGTGCCTTGGTGAACACATCAGCAGTGTTGGCCTCAGTGGCCACGAAACGCAGGTGAAGCTGACCACGCTGCTGCAGCTCTCGAGCAAGGAAGTAGCGCAGAGCAATGTGCTTCGTCCTGTGCTCCAGTCTGTGCTCCTCACACAAGGCAATGGTTGCCTTGTTGTCGACGTACAGCACTGGAGGAGAACGAGGCCGCTCTCCAAGGTCAGTCAGTAGGTAGGTGAGCCAGCGAAGCTCCTGGGCAGCCATGGCCGTGGCGTAGATCTCAGTCTCACAGCTGGAGCTGAGAACCGAAGAAGAGCGAGTAGAGCGCCAAGAGAAAGAGCCAGAGCCAAGACTGAAGGTGTAACCCTGAGACGACCTCTGAGTAGCCTGGTCGTCAGCCCAAGAAGCGTCTGAGTGCCCAGTGAGCACAGGCCGCTCACGCCCTCCAAGCACTAGCCCCATGCCCGACGTACTGCACAAGTAGCGCAACACCCTCTTAGCTGCATCCATGTGCTCCTTCCGGTGACGGCCGGGAGCAACATAGCGTGCTAAGATGCTGAGAGGGTATGCGAGGTCAGGTCGAGTGCAGGTCATCAGGTACATGAGGCAGCCCACAAGCTCTGGATACGGACCACTCGACTCTACGGACTCATCCGAAGGCAGAGCTGAGAGCGAGTGTCCCGTAGGCAGAGGAGTGGACTGAGGCGAGGAGTACGTGAAGCCGAAGCGCTGAAGGACCTGCTGCACCATGTGTGACTGAGTCAGGGTAATGGTGCGGCGTGCTCTGTCCCGGGTGATCCGCAAGCCAAGATAGCTTGTCAGTTCACCCAGGTCTGTGCACGTGTGTCTCTTCTGCAGCTCGGACTTCACGTGGGCGAGTGCGGCAGTGTCCGCAGTGGCAAAGACCAAGTCGTCAACGTACACGAGGATGTAGAACGGCGGCAGCGAGGTGTCGGTGCGCAGAAACAGCGACGGGTCAGCAGTAGAAGGAGCAAACCCAAGAGCCGCAAGTGTAGTCCTCAGTGTGTCGTGCCACTCACGCGGCGCCTGGCGGAGAGCGTAGACTGGCCGCCGGAGGCTCCACTGGGTACCAGGAGGGAACGACCCAGTGAAGCCAGGAGGGCGGCGCAGCCAGATCTCCTCGTGCAGGCGGCCCTGCAGGAAAGCAGTGCTGAAGTCAAGAGAGTGTAGCTCGTAGTCACGCTGAGCAGCGACGTGCAGTAGAACCCGAAGAGTGGTCATCTTCGGGGTCGGGGAGAAGGTCTGAAAGAAGTCAACTCCCTGTCGCTGACTGAAGCCACGAGCCACGTAACGCGCCTTGAAGACAGGCGGAGAACCCGGCGGCCGCTTCACCCTGAAGATCCACATGCCACTGACGATTTTCGCCCCAGGAGGGGGGACAGCGTCAACGTAGGTGCCTGTGGACTTCCAGGAAGCCATCTCTGCGTCCATAGCTGACTGCCATTGAGAGGAGTAGGGACCGGCCATCGCCTCTGCGTAAGAGCGTGGGGTCGGGATGTCTAGAGCATCCGGGTCTCCCTCAGGGGCAACAAGCATGGACACGAGATGGGGCAAAGCGGCGGCAAAGCACTGGAACTCCTCCTGCCTGTCCTCAAGGACGTCCGTGCCAAGAGCACAGTCACCCCCGACGGACGTAGGACAGGCAGACGCAGACGCAGCAGACGCAGACTCAGCAGACTCAGCAACAAGACTGGCAGCGTAGTCCAGATGACACGCAGCAGCAAAGTCGACCAGCTCAGCAACTAGGGCAGACGCAGCAGCGGACTCAAAGGAAGGGTCAGTGACAAGAGAAGCAAGAAGACGCGTGACAGTAGGACTGGCAGCACGGCGAGAGTCCGACTCCGGGTCGGCAAGTGTAGGAAGAGAAGACTGAGGAGGAGAAGGCAAAGGGGCACGCAGAGGAGCAGTGGACGGACGCAGAGACATCTGGTGTGTGCCAGGGACAGGAGGAGGACGCTGACGCGAACCGCGACCACTAGAGCGAGCAGCTCGGACTGGCGGCGCAGGGCGGGACGCAGGCTCACGACGCTCAGCAAGACCTCCAGTAGGACCAGCGTAGGGAGAAGGAGAAGGCAGGGGAGAGGCGGGCTGTAACTGTGACTGTGACGGGACAGGCTGCGGACACTCTACGGGAGGAGAAGGACCAGTGGAAGGCGGGAGACCAAGAACCTGCTGAAGGAGCGGAACGAAGTACGGCCGAGGCCGCGCAGCACCGCCAGAGACAGCAGGGACAGCACCAACACCTCCAGAGGCAGCACCAGCACCAGTAGCAGCTCCAACTCCAGCACCACCAGCAGCTGCAGAAGTACCCGCAGTAGGACCGACAGTCGTAGCCTCAGCGCCAGCACCCGCAGCAGCTCCAGCTCCAGAGGCACCCCCGGGCCCGGCAGCTCCAGTACCCTCAGTACGAGCACCTCCGGGACCCGTGGTACCAGCTCCCTCGGCAGCAACGGAACCTCCAGCACCCGCAGTACCCCCGGCTCCAGCAGCTCGCCTCCAGCGCCGGGCAAACCACTCACGCAGCTCAAGAGGAGAGAGCGGCTCGCGGCGCGAAGAACGGTCTGGAGAACCACCAGGAACAGAAGCAGCAGGCGCAGCACTCCCAGACGCAGAACCCCCAGGCTCAGCACCCCCAGGCACAGCACCCCCAGGCTCAGCACCCCCAGGCTCAGCACCCCCAGTCTCAGCACCCCCAGGCTCAGTACCCCCAGGCTCAGCACCCCCAGGCTCAGCACCCCCAGTCTCAGCACCCCCAGGCTCAGCACCCCCAGTCTCAGCACCCCCAGTCTCAGCACCCTGAGGCTCCGCACCCGCAGCAGCACCAGAGTCACCAGTGACCTCGACAGGCTCGACCGCGTCTACCTGAGACACACCTGAAGGGGCAGGAC